TTGGAGTAAAAAGTATTGATAATAAATATTAAATTTCTTAAAAATACATCAAAATGATTTTATATTTATTCTTTAGATGTTATAGAATATCGTTTAATCATTAATTTCAGCTCGTTTTTAATACTTCAAAAGCAATCTAATATTGTTTTTTTGTTTGTTCCAGGCCCTAGCTAAGCGAGGCTTTTGTATATAAACGTGCCTCTTAGGCCTAATTTCATGTGCTATTTGATACTGGACAAGGATCTTATACAATATCAAATATCGTGAGTATAGAATTTCAAGTAATATACCAATACCAGACGAGAATATATAGTATATTTGTGTGTCTAAGGCCCTAGAAGCGCGATTTATACTTACTGTGGCTCTAAGTTATAGCATACAAGAGGCCCCCTTACACTATATAATAATGGACGATAGGTATTAATAATTGATGAGGCAGTGGAAAGAGTCAATTAAATTGGCACCTTGATACGAGCTTCGAGATTGCTGTGTAATCCTCTGTCTAACGTCACGTGTGGACTTAGAGGTGATGATATTGCTAGGAAACTGATTGGATTTTTTCACGCGGGATGCATTTTAACTTATTGTTTACATCAATGGATTTTATTTCTGATAAAATTTATGCTGACGAATCTTATTAATCATTATTTCTTTTATTATTTTTTTTTACATGGTTAGGTTATTGAAATTGAATTGTTTCCAAGATCCTCTACATTGCTGTTGTTATTTTTAGANGGATGCTTTGATATGGAAAGAAACGAGGAAGAGACCGCATCGGGACACTCAGGAGTGAACGTGACGCTGCACCACATTGTACAAAAGTTAAATTGCTCTGTTACAACATTGGCCGCCATCCATTTACATCGCGATTTCGAACTTAGGAAGGACGTGTTCGGAAATTTAATCCCCCCTCTCTCTCTCATCCCGTTGTTATGGTTACTGTTTCGATTTCCGAATCTCTCCCAAGATAAAGTGCAGTCGATTTCCGAACGTCACGTCAATTCCACATTACTTTTCCCCATTCGTCCAACTCTTTAATGATTGACAACGTCGGTGACAAATATAAAGGCTTCATAATGACAAATAATAGATGAAAGCTTCCTCCCGTTTCTATCCTAGAATGTATGACTTAAAGATTAATCCTGGATATTAATTCTGAAAGATGAATGTTTCTTTTATCAGCTGACGTTGTACTAAAACACTTTGGAAAAGGTTAATGTATTAGAGCAGACCGTCTGACTTGCCAAATGGGTTTTTTTTTCTTTTCTTTTTTTCTATTAACGAAATATGAACTGATAGATTGTAGATAGTAATTTTAGATTATTTCTCGTGTAAAAAATGAGTCTAGATCTAGTAAAACATCCAAAAATAGACGGCTTCAAGATAAACAAGGCGGCTCACGTGATTACATTGAACCACTTTGCTTGAGAAACAAGTAGAGTCTGTCGTTGTTGTAATCTGATATCATGTGAATATAACCAGCTGTCTATTAGTCAACCCCACTTCACAGTCACGTGACTCGACTGCAACACCCTGTGTAAGTTACATGTATCGAGGTGTTTAAATGAGTGCTTTTCTACTCATAAGTCGAAGGATGACAGCTTATCGGAAAGGTTCGATTGGAGGTGATGACAAGCTGTCTTAAGAGACTGAAATGTGTTGATCGTGCTCCACCAAACAAAGAGGATTAAATTCTGAACGTCAAACTGGATAAAACGACAATGTCGGAGACAACTAATGCCGTTAAAGGTCATAGTGCAGCGGAATCGATCTTACCCATTTGGCACAATCCAACCATTGATCATATATAAGCATTTTTAACCGATTCTTTCAAAGTAAAACTGGAGTGACAGTTGCTGGATGGGGGATACAGAAGTGGGTGATGTGAGTATCTGTTATTCACGTCCGGATGAAGCTTGGAGAAGAGGTCAGTCCCGAGACGTGACGGGCCAGAAAATCGCACATTAATTCTCCTAATGGCTTACTGCTGTAGTTTCTAACTCTATTTTGACGTTAAAATCTCTGACGTAATTCTATTATCCAATCAGAGATTAAATATTCAAATTTTTGAATTTAAATTGAAATGCTCTCCAGATGATTCGCTAATTAAATTTTATTATTGTTATTTTTTTTAAAGTTTAATTAATTAGGTTAATTACGAAAGAAAATATTTATTATTATTGTTTATATTCATTTGGCTGATTTAAAAAAAAAAAAAAAAAAAATTCTCTTGTGACATCACACTCAAATTAAACTATTTCATTTCCTAAATTGTAAGATGTTTACTTATGACGTCAGTCATTCAGCCAATCGATTTAAATTCCGTTTTATGAATGGATGGCGTCACATTATGATGTTCACTTTACTGTAAAAACATAATTCGCAACGTGTTTTTACACTAATAGGTAATTTTTCTACTGAAAAGAGCAAACTAACGTTAATATAAGCCTCTCTTTTTTTTAGTTCTTCATTCTTGTTACCAGGAATAATACTTTCTGGATAAAAATTCTACAGGTACCTCGTTACAATTTGGTTTTTTATTATTATATTTTTTTTTCTTTATGCACCATAAGAAGTGAGATGCAATTTACATACCAGCCATTTGTAACACAATCCGTGGTAAAAAGGGTCTTTTTTTTCTTTTTATTCCTAGAAAAATTACAAATCCCACAAAAGTGACGTCACCAACGTTGACAATTCGTGCGTGAAAATCGGAGGAGAAGGCAGTAGTTCACTCCTTATATAACTAAGAGAATTTTCATCTGACGGTTCAATGGTCCGAGAGTGTCTCTTGACGGAATTTTTAATCTGGTTGCTAGTAAGAGGCTGCAGGCGTTCATCTTCCTTCCGTCACGCTTCACAGGTTTCAATTATCTCACATGGTAAACGTGACGTCACGATATCTCGCAGCGAAATCGTAATCACGCGAGATTATGTTCTGTCTGTCGCAATTAATGATGATGACGATCTCTACAGCGATTAACTAATATTATATTAAATCAAACTATTACTGTAGCGTGGCGTGCGTAACGCCGTTTTGCGTTAAGTCGTGATTATTCTTTCCTCCGGGGAACTTTTTTCTTCCTTCGTATTAACTCGGATTTTAAAATGTGTATTACCGTGAATACCGTGGCTTCAATAGTCGTAGACGGGGCTTCTTCGTGCTTACGTCACGTGTGTGCTTCTCACTCTCACGTGTGTAAGCCCCGTTAGAAAAATAACTGTCTAGTTTACTTATTATAGGATGAGGAATGTGAAATATTTCAGGAAGTGAATTTATATTCATCCAATTACCGCGCTCGATGCAAAGATTGATAGGGGTTTTTTTTTTTTAAATTTTGGAAGTTAAGTTTGTGGAAGTTTTTTTTTAAGTTAAGCAATCAATTGCTCCTTAACAATTTTCTATTTTTTTATTTTTAAATAAAAATTTAGCCAATATTCAAGCAACCGTTTAGATATTTTGTGCAATTTTTGCAATATTTTCTGTATGGAAGGTAAGCAGCATTTTATTTTATTTTTCGTTTAACCTATCGGGCGGAGATGAATAGTTTTAACCATTTCTATTAAGTTAATGGGCGGAGAAGTTTTGTTCTAGAGAATAAACTTCGTTTTTTTTTTTCTTTTCCAACAGTTTAGTGACACATTCAGCTGGTGCGCATTCTTATTATATGCACCAGCGGTGCACAGAATAGGGCGGAACTGGTACTGCTATTTTACTCGGATAATAGTAAAAGAATAAAATCTCAGGATGCGAATTTTTACCTAAAACTACATTTATTAAGGATAGAGCAATAACATCGAAGATAAGTCAAAGGGAACGTCGTTTATATTAATTTTCCACTTTTAAAATGAATGCGTTTAATAATTGGCCTTGAGACATCCATTGTCATCATTGACCCCCGCTGATAGCGCAGACATGCATTTAAATAGAAAATCAATGTCTGAGTATGTGGCCCAGGGGGTGAATTGTACAAACATTACCTCGCATGTTATAAAAAGTGGCAGGATTGCATTTACTAACTCTTCCACGTTAATCTCCTTTATACGGATAATCTAACGTTAATAATGGATCTTATTGGAAACTTACACCACAATGCTTTCTTGAATCTGTAACAGTAGTTTGTAGTAACTAATACATGCATTATCTGTGCTGACCCGGTTTTGAATTACAAGAATTCTACTGACATGAACATTGTATTAAGCGGTACTACGCTTGGCCTAATAACAATATAAGAAAACGTTTTTTTTTACTCAGTTTTAAATTTCTAAATTAAAAAAAAAAAAAAATATGAGAAAAAATAAGAAATCTTTGTTAACTCTATGACATAAATTTCCCAATTGATACAATTTTGTAGAGCGCCATTATTATTAATAGCTTAAACGATGCAGGGGTAATCTAATATTTGAAAGACACGCGATATTTGTTTATAATTATCTACCACTGTTTTTTTTTACTAGAAATTAAATCATTTATAATATTCTCGCTTTATATAAATGAAATGTGGCATTTGGTAGGATTATTGAGTGCGATATTTTAGTCTCCTTTCTATATGGCTGCTATTGATTTAAACTATCAGAGGTGCAAGGAGCAGTATTAACCTACACTTTTACGAGAGGCCCGCATTCTACTTGTTCCAATCACGTGACGGTATGCGTGACGTTCTCCCGAATCGATTCGAAATTCAAAACATCCGCAATCCGTAAAGTGTGGTAAACAATATTAGTTCATGCGCAAAAAAAATTGTATATATATATATTTTTTTTTAAAATATCGAGGAGTTTTTGCACAAACACACCGGTTTCTAGAAAGATTGAGTAAGTTTTATCCAGCGTGGAATGTGTTCCTTCTTGACTTTCCGCAATTCCACTCCTACAGAACTTCTTTGTATAGTGTAGTATCGAAACAACAATTCCAGCAGCAGAGCAGCAGCAGCAGCAGCAGCAGCAGCTAGACTCGGGCATGTTCTGCACTTCACCCTACTTCGATCCACATTTTCCTTACCCTACTGAGCGAGTGGTACGTTCCCGATCTGTCGTTTGCCTTGAGGGCAGACGTAGACCGTACATTTATCCCAACCTCAGTTCAGTTGCGGGCTTCATCCTACATAGGATGTTGTAATTCTTAAACGTTTAGTGCAAAATCTACAACCGCAATCTGTAGAAAAGTCAAGATTTACTAAAAAAAAAACAGCAAAAGTGCGCGGCATACAGCCGTGCTACACGCTTACGTTTTGGTATATGTATGTGACGTATAAAAAGTTCTGGAAATTGTTAAACGTCCGAACAAGATGAGGTAAGTGATATTTTTCAAATTGTATTTGTGACGGATCCCCCCCGAAAATATTAAATAAAGTAGTGTGTCGAGCGTAGACTGCATGCATCTCTAGTGCCGAAGGAGGAATAGCCGCCATGTCTGTTGTGCAGGCGGAGATAGCACATCACGTTTGCAGTCATAACAAACAGGTGTATAGTTAAGCGCAGGTAGAAATGTATATTTTAAGATGTTTTTCGCATATATAATATGATTTAGATATTATTAATCGCTTTGTTTTACGTTCCAACGTTATGCAATGCATCTATACGAAGGAATTTCTGTAAGCTAGTATACTGGAAAAATCCGTTACGTTACTTAAATCACTCAAGGTATTAAAGTGTTAACACCTATATCCATATAAGGAACGTTTCTGCTCCTTTTAACCTTGAATTTATCAAGTTAATTTTCCGAATTTATGCCTTAATAATCGAAATTCTAATCAGAAAATGTCCTATTGTATGCGATAGATTTTTTTTTCTTTTGGTGTGAGCTTAATGACTTAACGACTAGTCATCGTTCATACTTGATATAATATGATAAGTAATCGGGCATATATTTTAATTAGTAAAAATTAGTCATTCGTGCAGTCTTGTTTATGTAGTAAATTATAAATTAATCAATAAGAAAAGCATACGGCATTGTTTACTGTGTAGCAACTTCGGGCAGGTGTTTGGTGGTTGAAATCCCTTAGAGTCATATTACGTGTAGCAGCGGTCTTCTATGCAAAACAACCGTGTCATTAGGTCATTTTATCACAAACTTATCCACTTATTTGTCGACATTCTGGATAAACGAGTTTCGTAACTTTGTTAGATAATTGTAGACAACAAGGATGTTCTAGAGTTAGGCGATTGATAGATCATACGATATTTTAAAAAGGTCAGCTCATAAATCTGGTATCCCGAGAAGAATAAGCTTCATACCTATCCTCATTCTTCCTCATAACTTTTAGAGTCGTTAGTCACGTGACGGTGAGGTGCCATTGTCCCCTAGTTCTATACGAAGGTCAACCGAGACGGTTGGAAAAAAAAAAAATCTCTGCTGGCCTTCATCCAGATGTGACTTCGCTTTATTTGTCTTTCAGTGGTATTTGCCTCGCTTGTTCTACGACGTATTCACATTTTACATTAGTATATTTTGTCAACAAGTTCTTTGTGAGTCTTATTTTTACACTCATCTCTAAGTAAATATGGCCTTTAAAATTAGATAAATAATCCTAAAATAATCAGAATAAATTATTTTTAGCGTATCTGAGCACCTTTCAACATTATCCTACTTATATAAAAAAAATATCTAGAATAGAACTTATTCAGTAAGGCAATTTTCCTAAAAGGGTCCTCCTTTGTTTTTATCTGTGTACTTCTTATTGATTTCTTCTCTAAGCATTTTTATTTATTTTTTTTTTTATATTTTTTTCTAAATGATACATCACGGCATACTACGTTATGTTATCAACAGGATTTCCACTTTAGATATAGAAAATGCATTTATTATCTTGCCACAACTATTACCGACGATTTGAAGGACAGACTGAGCCACTTATTCAATCAAAGTGTTTTTCTGTACGACGCTATTCAACATGAAACACTGTAAGATAGTGAGCTGAACCTATTCACTTCTATTATTAAAGGTTAAAGGCATGTTGGCTGCGCATTATTGTTAAAATACTCGTTTTATAACTCGATAATAGCTCATACAGCAATTGTTTCTTCTATATTTTTTTGTTTGAAATCTCGTTTAAGAGGTCTCCTTCTATCTTCTATACCCTGTTTATTTATCAGGTAAGCAAAGGAGTTTTATATTACACCGTCCTGTAAGCTTAGAATTATTGATAAGTATGGTCCATTTTGTGTAATGTCAAGAAATATCCATCCATTCTCGACCTCTTGTCGAACCGTTGTCGAAATGCTACTACAGTAACAAAAAGCACAATGTTAAATAATGTAAAAATTCTCTATACGTCACTTGAAAAATGATGAAGTGGTTCTGGATGTATACATGAGTAAACCATTAAATGTGCATTCGTGAATATATAATATGACATTAAAATATATGTTTGTTACGGTTGTAAACGAAAGAACACATTCCAATTGTATTAAAAACTATAAATATTTTTGTACTTTTATCGTAACAAAATCTGCTGAATAGAAAATAATCTTGAATAACGATGGCAGAAATATTATGCTACTGTTTGAGCAATAAAAAAAAGTGAAAGTAACGATAAATATTTTGATTTTTTTATGAAAGAAGTACAGAATATTTCGATACATATTTAAATATGCTGCTATAGAAACAAATCAAAATTATTATGCATTTTTTTTTTTTTTAGAATTTACTCAACCAGGCGTAACATTTAAGGTTAATGAGAACAACAATTAGAGCAATAAAAAGTGAGGATGCAATAAATATTTTCACTTGTTATAACAGGAACAAAATCTTATTTACCAACGTAAAAACAGAATCTAATTATAAGGCAATAGTAAAATAAAATAAATTCTTTCATATTTTTTTTTTTCTAAATGCTTCTACAACAATAATAATATTATCTTTAAATAATTCTTGAATAAATTTGTCAACTGAATTGATTATAGAAAGTAAACAAAGTTTTGTAATTATTAAAAGGAAAATAAAGTAAAAAGTTTTTTTAAAATTAAAAAAAAAGAAAGATTGAAGTAAGTTAGAAAAACTTTTATTAAATTAAAATTCTTTGTAGAGTAAATTAAAACAGACAAGAGAAATAAATTAAAACGCATCACACGACTGAATATATTCTTTTCAGTTGCGGAATTACATCAAAGTTAACCTATAGAAGTTTAGTAAATTGTATTTTTCTTAATATGGGTCAGTATATTAACGTAATATCTTGCCCAGGTGTTAAGCTAGAGGAAGTAACGCCAGTTTTCTGTACAGGAAATGCATCAGACACGTAGTAATTTTTGGCTTTTAGAAAGGACACGGAAATCGTAAGGTGAAACAAAACAAAAATTCACTCTCCTCCAAGCGAATTATTCAGTTAGAAATGTAGAAAACGAAAGAGAAAATTGGAATTTTGGCACAATTTAAAATTTACATAAAGCGTGCAGAGGTTCTGTGCGTGTCGAATTTTTGTTGAATAGTTGCATTGGCATTCCATAGATGGCCGTAGTTTGCAAAAATATTGCATTATGCCGGGTATAAAAATTTACTTATTTTCTTGCTTATCTTAATCGAAATTACGTGACTCCAACGAAACGTATTATTCGAAAAATGTTGATTACCCGAAAATTGCAAAAATCCGTTTTTAAAAGGTTGAATAGTTAGAAATAATACGAAGGAGGCATAAAAAAAAGAAGAGATAAGGAGCATAAAATATTTAACTCCACCTCAAAGATAACTCCGGGATATTTTTTTATTGATCTGGCGTCAATAAAAATTCCCTGCAACTCTTTGCTGAAGATACTTTTCCACTTTGCAGCTCGCTATTTTTATAGATCAATATAGGTTAACTGTGATTCTTTAAAAAACAAAAGAAAATATTTTAAAAATTAAAACTGAGTTTGATAAATCTTAACAGTTATGTACGAGTAGCTCTACACCCATTTGTTTTCCCCCCCTTTACTCTTTGAAGAGCATTTTTTAAAAATTAGCCTTCTCCAAGTGATTTATGAGTTAAAAACCCTACGCGTGGGATCAACATAGAAACAATAGGGATCCTCTTCCATACATCAAAACTTGATTGCTGCGTATCAAGACACGCAATTATCGCATGACAACGGACCGAGAGGGAGAATAATAGGGATGTTAGAATATTTTTATCTTAAGCATGTACTCGAGCGAAAACCTCGAAAAGGAGCAAAGACTTTTAAAAAGAACTGATGAATGCGAGTGAAGATGCGAATCCCAGTAAAGATATTTTGCTATCTGAAGGAGGAAACTCGAAACTCCACTCTAAAACTCCAAACTGCATCAATCGAATTGATCCAGCCATCTAAATCAGTGTAAATGCTTTAGTTTTTCAGCAGATTTAACGCGGCTGCAATCTAAAAAATGCCATAAAGCCCGATAGGCAAGATTCACCTGAGATTCCAGCTACCTTAACGGTAGAGCTAAGTCTCTTTAAATCCCTAAATCTGTTGACCCCGTCGAGCATTCTTCGCATGAAGCGATCCCTTATAGATTCTATCAAAGTGAGGAAATGGCTTTACGCTTCAATGCCCCTATAATGACCACAAGACACAATAGGCTGACGTTGCCCTTCTACGCTAAACGCTTGCCTACATTCGATTGTTGTTTGCCCTCTGCTCTCTTCAAAGGGAAATTCCTCCATTTTTATTTATTTTAACCTATCGTTGCTTCATCCACCGAAACGATTCTCGGAAGGGAAATAATTACTAAAAATTGAAAATTTAACATCTCATTTTTGCTCCGACTGTTTTGAATTCCTTATTTTATAATTGGCAAAATAGCCTTGCGTGCTTTTCTAGTTATTAGAATAGGAATGCTCCCAAAGCAGAATAACATCCTCGAAGAATTTCTTAGGAGAATAATTCATCTTTACTGTTCTTATCATTGCTGGATGGTTTAGAAATTCTTAATCAGTTTCGGTTCAAAAACGCTTTGCTGACAGATCATTTAAATTCCATAACGCTTTATATTTCTAACTTAATAACCCTCTCGTAGATCATTTTATAAATCTATTTAAGAAAATGATAATTTAATCATCATCGGATAATAACATTTTTAAAGAAAAAGGATAAATTTTAATGAATAAACTGGCGCTCTTTCCTACATTCGATGCATAATGTATAAAGTAAGATGTTTGCTTAATGAAAATCCTCTTTTCTTTACCAAAATATTCTGTAAACTGATCCCGTCTTAATTGAATTTATTTTTTCGGCAGTCTCCTCGAAAGTTTTAAACAAATTTTAGATTTGTTCGTAACATTTTAACCGTGAAACGGTTTGACGAAAATCCTCCACAACTGCCCCACATCCGTGAGA